AGGTGGATGGGACCCAGTGGGGGTGGTTCGGGCGGGGTCTGCCCTTGTCCAGGCTCAGCTTGGCCCAGAGCTTAGGGACCCCAGGCCCCTCCCCGCCCGCCGGCCCCTCTGAGGAAGCGGCTGCCTAATTAGTAAGTTCTCCGCTGTTGTTCAAACTCCTTGCTCGGCAAAATGTAAATGAAACATTTTTTCTGGGTGTCAGTATGAAAAATGACAGTCGCTGGAATATCACAGAGGACATCTGCTCGCTTCTGTGTGAGCGCCTGTATATGGCTGATGTCGCAGAACTTGGGGGGAACTTCACCGTGTACCTGGGTGACCCGTGGGTGGGATGTGGGTCCAGGGCCGCATGTCTCGGCCCCAGGACCACGTGGCCGCCTCCAGGTCTGGTGTCACCATGGTGCCCACAACAGTACTCTGGGCCCCTGAATTGTGGGCATTATCACATGGGCAGTGGGGGGCTTGGTCCCGAGTGCCCAGCGAAGGGCGTGCTGCGGGGGGCTGGTGAGTCTCACTGAGTGTGGTGCTTTTTCCGTTACCTGGATGCCAGGCTCCATCCTGTCGGCCGGGTCAGCCTTGGGGAGCTGCCCACCTCCCATTGGCACCACAGCACCTTTTGGCCAACAAAGGGCTGGACCCCTGGGTCGGGAGAGTTCTTGGCCCTGCAGCCCCCCGGCAGGTGGGTGTAGCTAGTGCTTGACCTGTTGCCAGTGCCTGCTGGGACACACTGGCTTGGTGCCACCTCCTCCAGGAAGGCCCCCTGGATTGGGTCAGCCTCCAGTCAGTCATGCCCTTCCCCCCATGTCCAGATGCCCACCTGGCTCCTTTCCAACACAGGTGAGGGCGGGTCCTTCCCACCTGGCCCCATGGAAACTGGGGTCAGTGCTTGTTTGTTTGGGGGCCCTGGGTGCATTGGGCCTGGCACCGCCAGCTACTGTTCGCCACGGGGGTGGGGCGGGTCCAGGCCACAGCCCCTCATGGCCCCCTTCCTAGGAGAGTACATCAAGACCTGGCGGCCCCGCTACTTCCTGCTCAAAAACGACGGCACCTTCATCGGCTACAAAGAGCGGCCCCAGGACCTGGAGCAACGCGAGTCGCCTCTCAACAACTTCTCTGTGGCACGTGAGTGAGCCCTCGGCCGCCTTGCATGGGAGCTGGGCCCCCACGCTGATGTCCCCTGGGCCTCTGTGTCTGGGACCAGTGGCTGCCGGGGACCGGGTTGGGCAGTGCTGGCTCCGAGGACCTGTTAGGTCACCTGGGGGGGCCTGTTAGCGGCTGACTGGCTGGGGTGGTGGGGTCTCTGTGCCAGGTTCCAAGGCTGTGACCCTGGAGCTGTCTAGGGCGCTTTTGCTCTGAAGGCTAGAAGGCCTGGCCGAGGGGCCAGATTCTGGTCTGGGGCATGTGCTCAGGGCGCTCACCTGCTGGCCCTGCCCCCAGAATGCCAGCTGATGAAGACGGAGCGGCCCCGGCCCAACACCTTCATCATCCGATGCCTACAGTGGACCACGGTCATCGAGCGCACCTTCCACGTGGAGACCCCGGAGGAGCGGTACGTG